ACTTTTGCAGAAGAAAATGAAATTATTGGAAAGTTTTTTGCGCTGCGCTCAAAGCTGTGATGATTAGGAATGCGCGAAAACTCCAGTTGTGCTCCAATCGGTCGTGTACGTGGGAAGCCACGTGGGCGATTATGCACAAAAACCAACACACAAAGTGCACTGTAGTCGAAAATTTATTCGAAAGTGTTGGCGAAATTTAAATTAGTAAACGAAATTCACTGTAGACGAATTAGTTAGTGAGTTCTAAAATTATATTAACAAAATCGCGGAAAAACTATTAGATCACGTCGGGCTAACGGAATTACGTCGGGGTAACCAGTTGGGGTGGCTATAACGAAGGAACACTGCGCACGCGGAGGCTGCCAGTAGTAGAAGAGTTTACCATGTGATGTATAGTATTTTATAATAACAGCAGGCTGTTCTCGAGCTGTTCCGTTTTGTTTAGTATTCGTTTCAGCATCCCTTGTAAGCCAGGAGCAGCTGACTTGCTGACATGGTGTTACTATGTTATAATGTCGTATAAGTGAAATTGTGACTCGTCCCACATTTTTTACGTGAAAAAAGTGTCCTGAAGCTGATTTCATCATTGAAAAGTTTAGGTTATTGATCGATAGTCAGAAGATAAAGGAAATATCTTTTAGCCAATGAAAAAGTACCGACAGGTAAGAAAAAAAAATATATACAAGTATTTACTAAAACTCTGTACATACTTTTTAAAGATAAATCGTTAATTACGTATTTAAAAAATTACTATTAGTTTTCTAAATAATAAAACTAAAAATGTATCACATTAACATTATTACTACAAAATCATCAAATTTCATTTTATAATATTGCCTAGCTATTATTTTTTTCATTTTTTAAAGAAAAAAAGACAGGTTTATCGTGCTAGCCTTCAACGTCACTAGTGTAATCACATAACAACTATAACTAAATTCCCTCTTTAAGTGGGCGGAAAGATCTTTTAAAAATATTTATTTTGTTTCTGTTCCCAAAAAGATCATGACCTACATTAACGAAAGTACAATCAGCGTTTCAAACAAGCAGTTACAATTAAAAATACTCATCAATTCCATTATTATAAGCCGTTATATAATATAATATGATGTATCACTGCAATGTTAGCTTATTTCGGAAGATGAGAAAGCTTTTACGAAGAAAATCTTAAAACAAGTTAAATAAAGATAACTACAGTTCACATTTTAGCATTTCAGTATTAATTTATTGTAACATACTAATAAAAATAAATTGTATAATAATAATAAAATTCGTTAATAACTATTTGTTTTTTTTTAATTATAACAATATGAAGCAACAATGCAGTCTGATGCTTGGTTGCTCTTTGTTCTTATAGCGATTGAAGCTCAGCAAAATGTGATAAGAAAATTCATATCGTCTAAACTAATTTTAACTGATAAAAATAAACTTCATACTTTTACCGAGAAGTCACTAAAATTTATAGTAATTAACTTAAAACTTAATTAACAATATGATATTAAAAAAACAAATAGTTATTATTATTATGTTAAAAAAAAAATTTCCCGAAAAGTCCTTAAAATTTCACTAATTTATCTTTAATTATATTTATATAAATATTGATTTAAAAACAATTTTTTAAGTAAAAGTACATAAAATTTTTATTTAAGACAATATTTTGGTTAAATTTAAAATTTTCAAAAAACCGTTTAGGGGATAAGTTTCTCAATGCCCCCACTTATAAAAAATATACATGGACTTAATTTTTATGATCAAGTGTACAAAATCCATATGTTCATATGTTAGTATATCATATATGCAGTCCATATTATTTGTTAAATAATAATGTGAAAGATTTTAAAATTTAAGTCTTTCCGTAATTATTTTATTAAATACATATTATATATTTATATATTTATTATTTTATTATACAGAATGGTTGCTCAAAGTTCGATACGTTTTTTTGTTCAAGTTGAAAAGTATTAACTGTAATCATCTACTTTGGATATCCTAAATGCTACAGAATTTTTAATTTTGGTACTAACACCAAATGCGATTTTTACACAATGACCGATATATTATATATACGTAGCAGAAAGTCAACCACAGATACAAAAAATATTTAAAATAGTTTCACCGATGCTAAGTTAATCGCAATTTCTCTGCTCGCTATCTTTGCGCGCTACAAGGTATGGAGTTGAATTCGTACAAGAGATTACGTGGATACCTCACAAAAGTGGTATGATCGCTATCTTCAATGCTACTAAGTTTTGTTCTGTATATTTGAGATCAGATTTACTATTATGAATGCCTCAAATAACAAATGCAAATACCAATTTCGTTTTTGCTTGTTTGTTTTTTGAAACATAAGGCTTACAATCAGTTATAATAGTTTATAAAACAAAACTAAGGGCTACTAAAAGGTTTTTTGACGCGGAAAAAATTATTTCACGACCAAGAAAGAATCGTAGCACGATTGCGCACGCGTTAGAAGACATGTTAACGCAGGGTTACACCACACGTGCTGCCCGTTTGTTTAAACATCTGATATAGTTTGTCCGATTCGCTACTCTCCAACGCTTGGCGAATCGAAGACAGCTATTGCTATCAAGTTATACTAAAATATCTTTCATACTGTCAGATATATCAAATACAGCAAAAATCCATTTTAGTAATTATATTATCAATATTATAATATTATATACATAATATATAATATAAATATTTGAAAGTTGTAGTTTTTATTTAATTTTTTTTCTTTGTACATTTTTTTGAAACATTTGCAATATTTTTAGTTTACAGTACATTGGCGGATATATCCGAAAAAAAATATTGGATACTATGTTGAATATTACTACTCTTACATTGATGTATGCATATTTATGTTTGTTTACATTTTCATCTGCCAAAATAAGGTTTATCGTTATTGCCAACTACTTTTTTCTGCAAAAATTTAACTATTGTTAATGAAAGAAAACGATGAACAGGCAATGACTCTAGGTTAATATACAAGCTAAAAAGGTTTTGACAAACCAATATAAATATGTTGGTTAAGCTTCCACAAAAAATAAGCAAACAGCTTAACGTGCTGGATAAAAACTGTAAACTGATAATTTACTTGTAAGCAATTAATACTAATTTGTACCAGATATAGTTTCGCATTTAAAAAACTTATTTTTGTCTTCAAAATTACTCAATTTACATAAATTTTTTATTAAAAAAAAAAAAAAATTATGCACATATGAACTCTAATTGCTTGATGACATTTGAAAAAATGTCATATTTAAATAAGTCAAATCCTTTATAACTAAAATTTGTAAATTCGTGGCGGGCGCGCATTGTTTATACAAAACGAACATGAAAATCGAGTTCTGCACTTTTTTTTTTAAGATTACGTTCGTTTCTGAAGTAGTCGATTCGTTGACGAAGATTACAGTGGGTTGTTGTTAGCAAAGATATGGAGTGATATGAATATTAAGAAAGAATTTCGCACAATTTTGTCAAACTTAAGGCGTAGGAAACTAACATAATTTAAAATTTTTTATAATACTTGTAAGATATTTATGACACAGAAATACTTATTTGGCTCTAATAATTTTAAAGTGGATACCCTTACCAAGAAATATCACTACTAGCTCCAAATTCTTTTTCCTCAAGTTGGTACATCTATTGTAAGAACACATGCAAAGTTACTAGTCATTCTGTCAATTAATTCTTTGTTTACAAGCCTTTTAAAGTTGACGTGTGAGAGTATATTTAATATGGATGAAATTTAATATCGCGCAGTGATTGCATTCTTTGTTTCGAAAGGTTTAAAAGAAAATGGAATTTATGAACAATTGTTAAAATTGTATAAGGAGTCCTCACCTTTAAAACGCACCGGTGTATTGTGGGATGGTGAATTTAAACGTGGTCGTACTAGACGATCCACGGGAAGGATGACTAAAAACCGCAACTACACCAGAATTCATTGACAAAACTCATAATATTGTTAATGAAGATCCAAGTTTGACTGAGCTTCAAATTGCTAATACCATAGGCATCGCAGACGAAAGAGTACTTCATATATATGAAAAAGCTGTTTGGAAAGTTAGTGTCGCACACGACAATCCAACAAAAACTGGATCGAAAGCAAATTTCTCAGCATAATTTTGAGCATTTTAAACAGAGTAAAACCACCATCTACCACCATGATCCTAAATTGAAACAAGAACGTTTACAGTGGACTGAAGCTCACAAAGGTGTTTTAACAATGACAAAATTCAACGAATTAAAGTACGAATTGCTTGAACATCCCCCGAATCCAGCACATTTGACTTAAAGCCTCCTCAGAACCTCTTCAGAGATCTGAAACAATTCCTTCGTGGAAACCGTTTTTCGTCGAATGAAAAAGCTGTTACAGACGTGGACGTATATTTTGCAGAGCTTCCGAAAGTCATTACAGGGATGGCATAAAATTATTGGAGGACCATTGGAATAAGTGCATTCAAATTAAGGGAGATTAAATTGAATAAAAAATATATTTCGTACCAAAAACAGCATTTTTTCATTTGCGAAGTTCATAAGTATGTAAAAACAAGATTTCGAGTACATAACTTGTATATTTATGTAGAGTAAACTTTTTTAGTTAAATAAAGAAAAACCCGGTTTTTCTATTTGCGAAAACTGTAATGTAGTGGTTAGAGGTGTACACTACGTCCATCTGATTTCGAGGCCAGTTCCAAAAACATCAAAAAGTGATTTCTGTTAATAAGACGGCAGGCAAAAGCGAACTTTCGATCTCACCTCTGCTATGAAAGAGTTCATTATAACTACATTAACCACTAGGACTCGACTTAAAAGTTCTAAGGCCCCGTAGTTATCAAGCCACAAGGGGAACTAAACAACAAGAAGAAGTAGTTCTGTCAATCGTATAGCAGGAACTAATTTCATGTATGTCTTATTTGCTAAATAAAACTCAAATTTAACTTCTTTGAAAAGTTTCCACTCTAAACAGTTTATGATAACGTTACGATAAGTCTTACCTCAGAACTCAAGAGTTTCTTCCACACTAAAGATGTCCCCAAATTATACGTATGGTGTTGGTGAGTGATACAATTGGTCTTCACCATTTCAATAGAGTTGGTGGAATTATTGATACTTTCATCTTTTAATGGCGTATATAAACTATCATTGGATGTACTACTATACACTGGGGATTTACGAAACCGTCCACAACTTTTCTCAAGTTTTCGATTGTTGCAATTTTTATTATTTTTAGTATATATATTTGTGATCATCTGCTGTTTAGCGATGTTATCAAAAGCAACGGATTCTCCCGTGATATTAGTGTTTGTTACATGATTTTGGAGCATATGTACTGGCTGTACATTTGAATTATTTTTGTCTTTTCTATAATAATCCGGAGACACTGATCGGATCCAAATGGGATCTGCCGCCGCTAAAGCTGACTTTTCGGGATTATGAACAACAAGGTTTGGAATATCATCAGGTTGATGGTGACATGATGCCGTATTAAGAGCTATTTTAAAGCTTTTGCTGGGTTGCAAATCATCCTCTGTCGTTTCAATGTCAACCATTTCATCATCGTCAATATTGTTGTTATTATTTCCGTTATTTGAAGAATTTGAATCATTTACATAAGAGCCTTTTACATCAATCTCACAACGTTTCAAATCACACTGGCCTATAGGAGATGATCTAAACGGCGAGCGAGGCGGCATGGTAAGTGTTTCTTGAGAATGTACGGATGTTTGTGGTAAAGAACCACGAAATTGCAAAGTATTTGATGCTGAGGAATGAAAGTTAGCATGAACGGTCAAAGCAAGAGGTGCAGTATTACATACTGCTTCTGTTGTCGCTGATTTTGTTATACTAGTCTCAAGCAGTAAAGGAGAATCTGACGTTGGTTGCAATGTATTTTCTACTGGCAAGCTGCTGAAATATATCTTAGAGTGATTTGTTTTGGTTGTAGCTTGAGCACCTGTTGATATTGTAGCGGTAGAGTTAACAGATGTGGTAGCTAAATCAGTAGTTGTCGAAGCTACCGTTACCGAAGCAAAAGTGTTGAAAAAATTTGGTTTATTTTGTTGACAAACTGGTTTGAATGCCGACGCCGTGACGAATTGCGGAATGAAAGATGTGTTTGCATCGACTAATTTATTTAGATTGCCTAATTCCTGGCCAGCATTTGAAAAGCAACTGGCATTTATCGTAGCCATATTAGTATTTGGTTTCCAAGCACTTAATTTCAATGGTTGGCACAATTCATTGTTATCATAACTTTTGATGAGAGCGGTACTACTTCCAGCACGATCTCCGTTCTCACTTCCCGTCATAGATATCAGTGGAAGTTGAGAGAAAAATTCTTTATTACTGCTAATGGGTGGAGTCCTCAACCAATGCATTGCATAATCTGTAAGCCCAAACGGGCTCACTGTAATATTATAACCATTATTATAATTTCGGTTTTTGTTGCCAGATGCATTTGATTGTTGGGTTGAGTGCGCATGCCACATGTAATCCATCATAAAATTACGTGATAGCGGCATTTGATGGGCATTACCTTCACTTAGTTGCAATGTAGAAACACTGCTAGTTCTCCCATGATATGAGACACCATGTGCCGTTGTGCTTCCTATGTTCGTCGGTCGTACGGCACCAACTGCTGCTGCAACGGCCGTGACACCGACCATAGCCGCAGCTGTTACTGTACCAACATTTTTTTCAATCTGATTACATTGTCGTTTTGTTGACTCTTGTGAAGAGTTATGAGACGCCAAATAACTACTGTTACGGCGCAAAGACAAATCAATATCATGGAAAGGATATTGATTATCAGAAGATTTTGCCACTGTCATAATGGTTTCATCGCTACCATTTTCATTCGAGGCACCAGTGTAGGAAGCTGTGGCGGCACCTGGAACATTTATATTCTGTTGTACCTTATCTTGCTGCTGATGTCTTTGGGGGGTAGTTGATGTTGTTTTTAGCGTCGAAGAATTGTGACTCATGAGACGTTTACGTGTACCACCGTTAAACATTGCCTTAACGTCTTCCCAAGCATGGACAATTTCCTCAGGGGGATGACCGTTAAGAATCATATGACGACGCCATGAATTGAAATTTGCCGCATCGGGCTGAACATATTTGTCACCTGCAGTGATTCGGTGCGAATGAAAAATAAACTTGTTAGGCGAAAAGAACATGCCACAATAAAAACATTTAATACATTTCGCTCGGGAGGAATTGTAACGAGATGGTAAAAATGAACCGCGGCAGCCCCAAGCGCACTTATGATATACAGTAAAAGCAAAATCTTCAGGTAGTCTAGGCGGTGCATTATCGCCCAAGAAGCTTTTACATAGACGTTCCGCTTCACGCCTTGTTATCATGCCGCAACGACGCGAACTAATTGGCATTGCGCCAGCACGTCGCAATATTTCCAACTGTACCGGAGTACATTGAACGCAAGTGATACCAAGTGCGACTCGACGGTTATGAATTTCATTGTAACTATACTGTTTGAGCAGGGTGTTAGAAATCTGGGCTAAACACAACCGCTCTTGACCCTCGATATAAAGTGATACTATTGGGATGTCATAGAGGAGTACAGTGCTAACCTGAAAAGGAATAAACATATTTGAACAATATTTTTGGTTAGGATACCGAATAATAGACAAGGAAAATTGAATTAAAGCCAACTGATAAGTTAAAACAAGCTTATATAAGAAGATAAAGCTAATTAAATTAATTACACCACACAGATCCATGAAGCAGAACGTTTAAAACCCAAATCGCAATGGTCATTGAGCCCAGAAACTCCAGAAATTTTTTTCACTCTTGACGTTTTCCAAATATATAAATACCAATTTTGAATAAGAAAAGAATTTCGATCTCGCAATTTCGATAAGTTTGATGGTAAGTAGCAAAGAATAGAACAATTGTAGTTTTATTACAGAAAAATATATACGAAAACAATGGATGAATTAAAATTCACTTTAAGTGAAATAGAAAAATGATGGTGGCCCCTTCTCTCATAATGGTTACTCTCAAAAGCAATAAGCAGTTAAGACGCTAAAGAACAAGGAGCAAACATTCAAATACGAAATACGAGCATGTAACGAAGGGCTTGGTTAGGTGCAGCCGAACATTATACATACACTGTCAAAATTTCTCGGAAATAACTACATCTAAAAGCATATGCCAAACTTTATTAATAACACGTAAGGAAGCACCAATTTTGGGTGTAACCGAACATACTATCGTAATTTGCACTTGGCCAAATGAGCCTAAGTCGCCCTTCAAAACCATTCACCACACCATACATCACACATCACCACACACGACGACGCAACCATTCAAACCTGAGTACACCACCCAGGATACCACAACGCTTTTATATCATTCACCATCAACATCAACAAAAGGATCGAACTCCTCTCTTTTCAATACAGCGATCGCATGGAATCGACATTGCGCGCTTTTTCCTTCTGTAGTCCGAAGATATCGTTTCAAGATCTTAATTTGAAATGTGTAATTAATTTCATCTCTCAGTGACAAATTTAAAGAAAAGAAAAAATATACATATATCCTTAAAAAAATATGTGTATAATAGGATGGGTTAAAAAAACGAAAAAACTTCGTACTCCGAAAAATCGGTTGGTAGATACCTCTAAGAAAGGCTCTCCAAGTATCAGCTCTTAAGTAAACCGGAAAGCTCCTTCGCTTAACCGTTATATATTCATATTCATATCTCGCTTACAACTACTTGAAAACAATTTCGTTTCGTAAAATTAACCGTTTAAAAGATATTACGGGTGAAGCTTGACTATTTTAAGGCAAATTGGTAGTTTTTTTTTAATTTTATAACTCAATGAAAAAACAACATTTTAAAATGCAAAGCTCATAGTTATATGGGAAATTTACTGCTCTGCATTAATTGTAAGTAAATAAAATATTATTTATTTAAACTTTTAAATTATTCTTATTATTCTTTATTAAAGTAACAGTTTAATATATATAACTAGAAGACTCGTACTAAGTATATATTAAACTAGCTGACCCGGCGAACTTCGTACCGTTCGTTTTGGAATAATTTTATTAGTTAATAAATTAAATAAATTTCATGAATACTTTCACACTTTTAATATATATACTTAATTATATGGTAAATATAAACTTTTATTATACTTTTTCTTATTTCTATTGTAATGCCTTGTCAAGTACAATATTCTTTGTTTTTCCTTTTGAAAAAAAAAACATATAGGGCCGATGATTTGTCGACTCTTGAGTACGCAACATACAACTGTGAAAAACGTGGCGATTCAAGATTTATTCCACACATTTCTAACGATTAGCCCTGGGATTTACTAATTATTATTGCGAATGCAAGGTGCACTGGAAACTGGATACATTTGAATTCAAAAGGAAAGTCAGTTGGTAGTAGTGGTATTCTTGGAATAAGCACATCGTCACCTTCGAACTTTCTTATGATTATAGATCACTTCAATTAAATTTTTCATAACTTTTTTATCAGCCAGTCTTGTTCCGTTGCACAGTTTTGGTTGATTCATACTGTGTAACATAATTATCACTGAACCCATCTTTAACTGCAAATTGTGTGGTGGTAATACTGGAAAATCCAATGAATTTCAAAATTCTACCGTATAATTGACTACTTCATTTGTATCGATAATGGAATCGATCGACTTAAATTATTGTATTTGACCATCAAGTTTACTTTGCTCAACAAAGCATGATTTTCATAATTCTCAGGAATATTTGGGAACACTTTTTATATTAATTCTTGCTTTGAGTTTGTGAATTGACAAAAATTTTGTGGAAATGAAATAAGGCCTTTGAAAGAGATAATCTTCAAAAAGTAAATGCCAAAGAGTATTCTTTCGAAAGATAATAAATATTCTTCAATAAATTTGAATTTTCTGTGATTTTTTCTTTAAAAAAGTGGGGAATCTCGAAATGGATCACCCTCTATTATTATAAACTATTCAGTATAGTAAATGGTATTTCGGAATAAAGACGAAAAAGTTATAGGTGGTACAGTACCATTGGGATACGTGACAACCGGTCCTTTTCCATTAATTTTTTCTGTAATCTCTTTGATTATCAAACGTATACCGCTGCATTTTTAAGTTGGTTTCAAATTACTCTTAAGTATAATAGGTGAACCAATTTTCAACCGTGGATTATTTGATGCCATTACGGATATATCTCGAGAATTAAGAAACACAATTTGAAATTTTTTACTTCATTTTCATTTCTGCTAAAAGAAATTAGCGATTGATTTAAAATACATTACATCACCTCGCAAGAGCTGTTGTATCTAGAAACATCTACATTTGTGGCCGCTATTGTCGCCCGTTTACTGAGCCTGTTATGATCCAAGTAATTAATTTTTATTTCCAGGAAAATTCTTTTAATCATTAAATTTTTGTCGTAAACAGCTGAAATTGTCTGGAAATTTAATTCATGGAGTATTTAATTACAGTTCTATCATACCATTCCCAATTTCTAGCAATTGTTCGGAAAACCATATATTTGACCGATCTCTCGGAAATCACCAGACAGTAGTAATTTCATCGTTGCCGTTTAAATCTTGCACTGTTCTGTGCACTGATTCGAGAAAATTTGTGAGCCATTATGCACTCATCTCAAATTATGATTGAACTTTTTCCCAACACTGGAGCTATTCCGGTAATTTTTTATGTTACACGAGGTTAAGATATACACTTTAGAGACTTTAATTCTAGAATAATATTATTATTTAACAGAAATTATATGTTAAAATATGGTAAAAAATGTACTAAACCAACTTTAAGAGAGAGTTATTATTGAACAAACGCGAAAATGTAATATTCTCAATTTCCAACAGTTTACTTTATCTAAAAGTTATTTTGTTCCTTTTTGTATTCACAATGGATCAGAATCCAAATCCTAATCAAATTGCATAGTGATAATGAAGATTTAGATGTACGTGTTCGATATAATGGATATTTTCTGATATTGTGCAACATACTTTTGTTCTACGAAAGACATTTTAAGGCATTTTTTTACACCTTGGGTTACGTTACTTAAGCTTTAGTAAGGATCTTTAATCTTTTATAGCAATAAATTTTGCATATATTGCTCAGCAAGTAAATGTAGCTTTTCAATGGTGAAGGTATTTTTGAAATCGGTTGTTTTTAATAATAATAACCCAACGATTACCCTGCACCCGCCCACCCGACGCGAGGGGCGCAATCCGCAAACGTGCGGAATTAGCCGAATCAGAAAAGGCAAGAGAGTTTTTTAAGTGTTGAGATCTAAAACTGCTCAGCTACAGAAACAAAAATTTCAACAGCCAAGATCTAAAGTTACAATATAATAAATTGTTAGACTTTCATTTATTAAGAGAAAACAATAAAGTCTTTTTAATTTTGAAAAGTGAGTCAGATAAGTGCTGGAATGAGAATTAAAATCATGACATATACGGCGGAATGGCTCGTTTAGTTCAAAATTTGATCTACAGGATTTTAGCAGTAAAGGTCTAAACTGCCTCGAAAGGCGAACCGGGATATTAAATTTAATTTCAGACAGGAGAAAAGAACTGCAAACAGTTCCATTCAAAATTTTCACTAAGAATATTATGCCAAGCATTTCCTTACGACTAGAAAGTGTAGGTAGATTAATAAGTTTTAAACGACTAGTGTATGGAGGTAGATTCTAGGGTAAATCCTATCGGAAATGCGCTAAGGCGAAAAGTAAAAATTGTTTTTGAACCGACTCTAACTTGTCAGAATGGATTTGGTAGCTAGGGTTCCATACAACAGAGTCATATTCAGATATAGGTCTAACCAAAGTTGTATAAAGTGTTTTAGTAATATACGGATCTCTAAATTCTTTAGACCAACGTTTAACAAAACTGAGGACAGCTTTTGCTTTCAAGACCATGGTATCAATATGAAGATTAAAATTAAGCTTAGGGTCCATATTAACTCCCAAATCAACATAGGCAAAAACTTGCTCTAGAATATGGTGTTTTATTACATAAGAAGAGTGGTGCACAGATCTACGGGAAAAGCACATAATCTTACATTTATTGAGATTCAATGGCAAATTATTTCTATCACACCATGCAACCAAATTTTTTAAGTCTGTTTACAACAGACACCTCTCTCAGTTGAAGTGTATGATTTAAAAAGCTTTACGTCGTCAGCGTATAATAAAATTTTTGAGAATTCTATTACTGAAGAGATATCATTAATAAACAACAAGAACAGAATCGGGCCAAGATGACTACCTTGCGGAACACCTGAAGAAACATTAATTGTATCTGAAAGTGTATCCTCAAATATCACTCGTTGTGTTCTATTATAAAGATATGAAGATACCCATTGAAGGAATCTTGGCTGAAAGCCCAGCAGATCAAGTTTATGTATGAGAATCGATATATTTACTTTATCGAAAGCTTTGCTAAAGTCTGTGTATATAACATCCGTATGCTTATGTTTCCTAAAACCCAATGATACATGGTTTACGAATTCAAGTAAGTAGTTAATAGTCGAATTCCCTTTACGAAATCCTCGTTGAGATGAGAAAATTAACGGAGAAATCGAAAAGG